TTAACAGTGCTACAGTGGAGAAGCGATAACTCAAACTCAGATAACTCAAATTGCCTGCTAACTGGAACTAACTCCAATTTCTCTTGGATTTGACGATCTACTTTTTAGTCAATTTTACTGGGATAACTCGAACTCCCTGCTAAATTGATTGACAAACGCTGGAAGAAAAGCATGGGCTACCATTTTGTTCCTGAGTGCAATAATGCAGAGGAAAGTTGTGACATATATATATATTTTTCCTTTTTTTCCTTCCATATTTGCAGGACCACGGTCTGTTAAGATCCAGAAATTGTGCTACCATAGCAACGTGATGTAACGATTTTTCCTCCCTATGCTATTACATTATTGCACGGTGGTGTGACTAAATAAAGAGTAGATGTTACATAACTTGAATGGCTTATAGTTATCATCAGCAAGTGATAGCCTGCGCTGCAGCCGGCCCATGCCTTGTCTAGACCACTGTTATAGTCCTCCTACGAATTAGTGCACAAGAGCTCGTTCTTCTATCCAGCAGAGTGGCATTGATTTGTGTGAGCGATCGGTAGGCAGGTTCCTTACGCGCCTGATGATTGGTCTAATTTTTTCGTGTGAGTGACGGTTGGACATACATGTAGGCTAGACATGCAAAATTTAACAAGCAGTTGACACAAAAGCATTTACAGAAGTGAAAGCTAAGAGCAGTTTGGACTTGAAAACGTTTTTCTTGAAGAGAAAAATACTTTGAAAGAATTCCTTGAAGGCCAGAATGTGTTTGTAAAATTGCGGACTGGTTTTCGAGTGTCTTATAATCACTGCAGATTCACTGCCCATTTATAGAATGTCCTATCGTCAACACAAAGCAGGGAATCATCATCTTCATGGACAAAATAAACACTGTCTTTTATTAGCCCTTTAAATCCCTTGTTTTGCGGGGACAAAGTCATCCACTGCAAATCTTAATTTCTCTTTGTGCCTGGCATTACAATTGATGATAAGCTTTCCTGGGCCAATATATCATATACAATCAGTCACTCAGTCCTTTAGCTATAAAGTCAAAATGCTGAGACCTGTAAGCTTTTTACCCAGAGCTGTCCTTCAAACAATTTATTATAAGACAGTTCTTCCAAGAATATTATACGAAGTAGCTAGTGTATTTGGGGCTCTTGTTTAGAACATGTGCTGAAAGATCTGGAATTGATTCATTTTAGGGCGCATGCAGGACTTTTTTTATACAAAAGTTGCCAAGAGATATGGAAGATGATATTGTTCTTATGAATGCAAAATGGGAGACGTTAAAATTTTGTTATTGTTTTCGTATATTGACTATTGCACATAAAATATTCTTTTTAAACATGCACAAAGTGAATAGACTGGTTGTTTCAAACCCTGTAACTATGATCTTAGGAATACCTTGAATGTTATTGTCTCTAGGCCTAGAATTGAGCTGGGCCGTAGCCGAACGCTAATTTATGCATAGAACTGCAATAGCTTAGAACTCATTGTTAGACTTTGTCAAACAGTATGAAAACCCTGAGACTTTCAAAAGAAAACTTAAATCAATCAAGGATGTTATAAGAAATATAAATTTGGAAAAAACAGTGCTCTGTTTATGATAAATATTGCGTGAGCGCATAGGTTTTTTAAATCCTCCTGTTCTACACTGTTCTTACTTGAGCTAGTCAGTACATGTAGGTCCATTTGTTGACCTGCTTTACTAAATAAAATAATGAAGTAGTAATGAAGCTAGTGTGTATCAATGTAAAAAAACAAACAAACAAACAAAAAAACTACACGTCAGAACTACTATTCAGTCAGATCTGGGTATTTATCAGAACTAAGTTTTCAAAGTAACTAAGATTATTTATGCCACAAAAGAAAAGGTCAAGGCTTTAACAGAGGTAAAATATAACCAGTAGTAAACTGCATCTGAGATCTACAGTTCAAAAAAGCCGTAGGTCTGGAGCTAATTACTCATAGCAGTCAAATATAACATTTGCTCTGGCAGGTAAAGTTTAAGAATACTCCATGCACTGCACAACCTATGCTCAACAAAGAGAACAATGAAAACCTTGTTCAGGCTAGCTCTTAAAGACCCTGTTTCACACTATCACGAGCTGAGTCGTGTTTGGCCTAGCCTCCCATGCAGAACTTCTTTTGGCTCATCAGGCAATCCTCCTCAATGTTCATAGGAAAGGAAAGCGTGATGAAGCCAGAGACTATATGTTTGGCCTGTGAACACGTTATTTTAAATCAGACTAATCAAAAACTGTGTAAGAAACTAGCCAATTACAAACGCCTACATATGTCTGTTGTGGGATTCAAACACATTACATGTATTGTGCATAAATTCGCAGATGCTCTATACAGCGGTTAAAAGTGTCTGCGACGCAGGCTAGAAAGTGAGGGCTTTTTCATTCTTACAGTCTCGCTACACGATGATAAAAAGGAATGTCAGTCAGCTTGACATTCTCTCTGATGTTGTGAACAGAAAAAAATGTACAACGGAGTACCAATCACATTGATAAGGTTTGATTGTTGGATCCTTGCTGTAAAATCCGTTAAATGAGAGTAGAAACTGTGGTCATCACAGTGGATAGTTACTACCATTACCTTGGACCAATATTACCCGGTAGGGCTCTTACTTTATGATAGTTTTTTCAAAATGAACATGTTTCATTAGCACAAACCTTTAGGAACTGTATCTAAATCTTGTGGTTGCATGTACGATGGAGGACAATGCTTATTTGCAACTGTTGAAGAAGAAAAGAGAGTGTGGTATTAAAATATAATTATAACAGCTTAAGAATTGACAACACCGTACATTTATTACTGACGCCACAAATACCTGAGTACGATGATTAACGACCAAAAAACAATACTCTGCTATGTCTGTTTAAGAGTAGCGTGCAAGCAGGCTCACTTGTGTGAGTCCAGCGCATGGTAGATGCTCTTTGCTGTTTGACTAAATTGGCCAGTCAAAAGCAAGGAAATTAATTTTATACATGGTTAGCCTCGACATAAGGTAAATTTATTACAAGAAATTGAGTCAAAGGAAGACCTGTGTACAACTGAGTCTATTGTTTTAAACTCAAATTCAAGCACCTTCTCTCCAGTATTTATAAATAATGAGTTTTCATTGCTTCTATTCAGTGACCGCAACAAATCCGAGACTTGACTATTGGAGCAGCAAGGGTTAAACTAACCTGCTGATGGGTTGCAGTAATTTACATGTCTGTTGTACACAACCTTTCCCAATAACTTGTCACATTTAGGGCACCTTCTCTGCATGACAGGCACATTTTGCTCTGGGTCAGTTCCATTAACATCGATTGGAGCTCTGGTTTGTCCTTGCTCTGCATATAACAAAATAATGAAAGTAATTAGCAAATTACAAAAAAGTTATCACTATATATAAATATACTACATATAAATGAGAAGTCTCAACTCGCAGTCAACAAGAGACAACAAAAGGATTCAAAATTACCCGACATGCGCGATTTCTGGACATGGGAGAGGAGGATATATTCAAGTTCTGTACGGAAAGGATCTCTTGGGAAGTTCCACGACAGAAGCTCTTTTAAACATGGTGTGGTTCAACAACACAATCCATTTCGGGTTTCGAGGCTGGAAGGAGCACAGAGAAATGTGTTGGGGAGACGTAAATCTTTGTCAAACTTCCACAGGGCAGGAGTACCTCGAATTCAATGAAAGAGAAACCAAAACTCGTTCAGGAAACAATCCTCGGAATGTAAGAGCCATTGCACCGAAAATGTTTGCTGTGCCGAACAACAAGAAATGTCCAGTAAAGGCCTACAAAGTCTACGCAGAAAAGTGACCTGCGGGAATAAAAACTGACGATGCACCGTTTTACTTGGCAGTAAACAATGTAAAATCTGGCTCTGTCAAACCTTGGTTCAAAAAAGCTCCAGTCGGTGTAAATATAAGCTCAATACCTTAATGAAAACAATGGCACCAAAAGCCGGACTCCGGCCAATTTTCAAAAACCACAGCGGCAGAAAAACTGTGATTCAATTAAACTTTAGTCAACAACGATGTGTCGCCAACTGATATTATGTAACTGTCAGGACACAAAAACGTTCAAAGTATCACTAGCTACTCTACCGTCTCACAAAAACAACAGTTGAACATGTCTCACACTTTCACTGGACTGAGTTCGGGAGAAAATAGCTCCCCAGTCTGGCTCTTCTATTCCGGAGAAAAGAAAGCACGAGTTTGACGAACTCACTTATCCTTCATTTCGTCCAACATTTTCTCAGCAAAGCAAGCAAGCAGCACAGCAGCCCCTTTCTCTTTTAGCAGGTGCTGTTATAAGCAGAGGACATATTAGTGTGGCAATAAACACTTTAAATCAATCGCCCACACTTTCAGTGTGAGAAGAAAACCTAGCTAAACTTATGAAAGAATCAGACCTCTTAATTCGGATTCTGACTGTTTGTCAATTCAAGCATGCGGGTTCTGACAAGCAACAAAAAATGAAGTCGCGGGTTTTCACTTCTGTATTTCAAATTTTGAACTTCCGTAGAACTATTTCCACATATTTTCAGGATGTCTTATTTTATTCTAACTAGTTCTGCCTTTTAACGGCATTTTTGCTTGATAATTTAGATGTAAAGTATTTTACAAGGAAGCCATTCCGGTGCAACTCCTGAACTGTGAGGCGGCTTGACCGCGCGTTGTATATATATATATATATATATATATATATATATATATATAATGTAGTAGAAGAGCTGGATTATTTGGTCCAAGACTAATTGCTACTTAGAGTTTCAAGCTTCAACTGAAGCAATCATCAGGCAATATTTCTGTTTTGTACTGTATATTTACCCTGTACCAAGTTAACAACATTAATATGTGTATTATCAATGTATTTGTTATGACTCTTTCCTGACTTTTCACATTTTCAATTATTATAATTATGATCACCCAACTAGTTTAGCTTTTTAGTTATTTTGGGCATCCAACTACTGCATGCATTGTTCTTAATTATTATTTCTGGTAAATTCTATTGGTCTACCGTAGGAATAATTTTGTTGTTGTTGTTATTCAATACTTGGGATGAAATAACAGTCTTATTTGCTTTCAGTTTGTTAGTGTGTTTCTCAGACGTTATCTTCATGATATAATTTCTCTAGTACACTGTATGCTAATATTAAAGGTGCTAATTATAATTATCTTCCGGGTCCTTCCTAACACTTAACTTCTCCATGAAATAAATGCATTGTCTAAGATGGTCACGCTATAGTGAAATTCTACCTGACGACGATTTGCAGAACCCAATATTGATATCCCTCGATGTTATTACTAATTTTTTAAGTAATGAAATACGTAGAACGCCGCCGCAAATGAGGTGCTTTACAACTGCAGATTTACATTTTTATAGTAGTAAGCTTACGCTCGCCTACACATTTCTCCAAGTCAACTGAATATATTTTTGTCTTCGCTTTCACTTTTGATCAAAACCGCCGCGGTGAAAGAGAAATTCAAATTTAAACTGTATATATGACTTTCAAAGACAAGAAAAACGATTGCCGATCGCCGTATCTGCAACTGAAACAGTCGAACTAACGCATTAAAGTGGCTCGACTGGATTTTTTTAGGGGGATACCTCCCAAGTTTGAGCCTTAACTACGTCGGCATGAGTAAAGATATCGAAAAAAGGTTACCACAACTGTATTACATAAAGATGAAAATTTCTCATGATCTGGGTTTTATTGCAATCGGAGTCGCCATGGCAACGTAATAACGCCATTACGTTTTTCATTTATCTTTGTGTTTCTCTGTACCAGGAGTTTTTTGAGCAAATCGCTTAAGGGAGTATGGCTGCCATAATTGCCTCCATTATTAGGGAGATTTTCATCATCCAAAGATGTCAATGCTATGTATGCTAACAATCTTCAAGTAGCTGCTGCAATCCTGCTATCAGGGAACAGTTTTTTCAAAATTGAAAAAATGACAAGATTTATGGGTCTGTCCTTGTTTTCAGATGCCACATTCTTCAGGATGCAGCGATTATACCTAATACCCGTTGTAAATGAGTGGTGGTCGTGGCAGAGAGAGCAAACTCTCAAAGAATTTTTTGATAAAAAAGTTATTGTCTGTGGTGATGGCCAATGTGACTCGCCTGGCCATACAGCTTAAAATTTATGCTATTTTCTAATGGAGTTGGTCAGTGGTTACATCCTGGAAGTTGAAGTGAATGACAAACGTCATGTAAATTTGGTATCGGTGAACATGGAAAAGAATTCCCTGCATAGTGCCCTTCAGCGACTGAGAGGAATATTGAATGTAGTAGAAATTGTTACTGATGCCTCTTCAACAATAAAAAAGTTGATTGGTAAGATACTGCAAGCAATAATTAAACAGGTGTATCAATATTGCTTTACTGATACACTTGAATTTTGTTCATTATTTTAGTCTTTTTTACTCTCAGTACTCATGCATAAAAAAAGAAAGAAAAGTGCATGAACTTGTTGCCTTATACTTCATGGTATAACTTGCATTGCCTCCAACATTGATTACTGGTAATTTCTATTTTAACCAGAAATGAACAAATTTTTTGTTTGGTTTTTCTTGTAGCTGATGAGTTTCAAGGAGTATTCCACAGTTTGGATGTTTGGCATAAGTCAAAGAGTATAAGGAAGTGCCTGGCAGAGGTAATATCATTCCCCACAAAAACAGTACTTCATATGACTCACTCGTCAGATCTTCTAAAATCAGAAGAACAGGATTTTACTGTAGCTTCTAAAACAAATATAAGTAGAAATTATTGATGGTTAGCAAAACAGTTAACTCTATGATAGTTTAACAAAAAAGGAAACAAAAGCTAGGAAAGAATACTTATTACTTGCTGCGGACTTAATCCATTTAGGTTGGGAAATTGAAAGACATGGACAAGATAAAGGTATGGGCAGATGACATAATCCTACAGTTTTAGCACTGTGCAAGCACTTGTAGACCTACTGCATCAACCAGTGATGACGAAGCAGTTGAAATCATGAAGGTCTGTACATGTAGCATTTCCTACCTAACTGTATACACCTATTTCAATTATGGTTGCTCCCATGGATCATGCATCATTCTTATCTGAAGCAACCTTAATTGAAATAGGTGTATACATAAACGTTTTGCCCATTCACACCTATTGATATCAATCATTAAGATTTTGGAGAATCTCAAACATGAACCGGAATACATGGATTGGACTTTTACATCATGTGTTTGACGAACATGACTGGGTTGGAGGCAGATGTGCCCATGATGAGTTAGAAGACCATACACTCCCATGGTTTGACCGCAGGGATAAAGACTTTGAAGCACTTCAAAAGATTATTCTGGAACCTCAACTCCTTGCAAGTTTCAAATCTTAGGTCAGATTCAGGTAAACTGAAGTGAAATAGACAGTGTTTGATGTAGAATCCAGTAATGTCAGTGATGTATTGGGAAAGTAATGTTGATTCATCTAATACAAGATGGAGTCTTCTTATCAATGTTACTGACAAAGAAATTGATAAAAATACGGTGAATGTTCAGTTAACATAAGAAACTCGGATGAAGACCACTGGTTTTGTTATGTGAAACTTGGAAATATTGTTGACCCAAGTTGACAAGAAAATAGGAAATAACCATCTGCAAAAGTCATTTTTAATCAAATTATCTGGGCTTATGGTACTTTGCGAAACGAAACGAAACGAAACGAAACGGTACTTTGCGAAATGGTACTTTGCAAAATGGTACTTTGCGAAACGGTACTTTGCGAAACGGTACTTTGCGAAATGGTACTTTGCGAAATGGTACTTTGCGAAACGGTTACACAAGCGCCAATGCGCCTAAATTTTTCGCGTTGGCGACCAAACCCTGAAAATTAGCAGCCTAGAATGCTTCATCACACCTTATCTCTAGTACCTAGAATGCTACTGAAAGCTTAAGATTTGTTTCCAAAAAGCAATGTATTACCAGACGCCATCTTGGATTTAGGTGACTTGGAAAGTGGTGTATGAACTGTTTTAGTGTCGTCTTTGTAACACGTGTTAATTTTGCGGGCGCATCTTTCACACGTAGACATGCAAAAAGAGCGTTTCAGAGCGTTTTTCTGGTAAATTTATTTTTTAATTACTATGAGTACCATATATGAATTACAATCTAAGCAAATCAAACAAAAACATTAACAGTAACAATGACAACAAATGGAACAATGACAAATTTAGTAAAACCGTAACAATTCTTCTTTCTGTGGCCCATAGACGCTTTTTTGTTTGTTTAAAGACAAATTGGCACATAGATTGCGTGTTTCAATTTGCTTCAATTATGCTGGATAAGTTAGATCCAAAACTTAACTGTGTGAGAAAAATATAATAAGAAGCGCTGAAGAACACTGTTGTAAATAATGTTTGCTAGCACATGGGCAGACGCCGGTTTCACATGCATGACCCCAAAGCGCGGGAAAATTTCTCACGCAATGCCTCGCGTGACGAAAGAAAGACAAACATTTCGCAAAGTATCATTTAGCAAATTACCAAAATCAATTTTTTTGTTTGATTTGCTTTAATTGTAATTCATATATGGTACTCATAGTAACTAAGAAACAAATTTACAAGAAAAACGCTCTGAAACGCTCTTTTTACATGTTTGCTTGTGAAAGATGCGCCCGCAAAATTTACACGTGTTACACAGAGGACACTAAAATGGTTGATACACAACATTCAAGTCACCTAAATCCAAGATGGCGTCTGGTAATAGATGCTGCTCTTAGGAAACAGACTTAACGGGGAAATTTGCTCCAGGTTTATCTTTACAAATCTTCAGCTTTCAGTGGAATTCTAGGTACTCTAGATAAGGTGTGATGAAGCATTGTGTTGTAACCGTTTCGCAAAGTACCGTTTCGCAAAGTACCGTTTCGCAAAGTACCATTTCGCAAAGTACCATTTCGCAAAGTACCGTTTCGCAAAGTACCGTTTCGCAAAGTACCATTTCGTTTCGTTTCGTTTCGTTTCGCAAAGTACTGTAAGCCAATTATCTGGTTATTAGCTACATTTGCATGTTGCTTTGGATTTATTTTTTTGGAGAAATTAATGATGAATTTAATGGACCTTATTGTTTATTTTCTCTAGGCAAACAGGAAGTATTGGGTGTGCAAACAATCTTACCCTGCCATATGCATCAAAAAGATGTTCATACAGGTTTGTTACACTTATGATGCAAACTTCTTTCTAAATAAATGATGCCATTCTACATTCAATAATTCTTTTGGCACATTCATTCAATTTGCGGTGATAAGCACATTCCTGTTGGTTCAAACATTTGGGACATTAATGACAATATCATCCTGAACCGATGAAAATACAGGATATTTCGGAGACAGTTTAGTGATGTTATAGAATGTTAAAAAAAAACAAACAAGCAAGGAAAAACCAATAATGTAAATGCACAGTTCTCCTCATGAAACATGACTGCTTATGCATTGCCCATAATATACTAAAACCTATCAAAGTAATAATATATTGTAATTTCAAAGACTGACGGAACAATGCTGTGTTATTGTTTTAGTTACAAAGTTTACAAGGCCCGGAAACAACTTGCAGCCATAGACCGGAATTTTCATTTGAACCAAGAGCCGGCAACAACAAAGACAGGGGAACAAATAGTTACCAGAAAACACAACCAGCATACAAAGGAATGGGATGCTAAAATTGTGAAAGTCAAGAAGAATTATGAGTACATCCCTGTCATGATGGCAAAGATCCTTCATCTTAGAAAAGACGATGTTAACATTGTCACTAGACAAGTGTCTTTGAACGAGAGTGACCCTGCATTGTTGGCTCCCACTATTGCAGACAAACCCGCACCACCCTCAAAGGAACTATTTATTGCCCGCAGGAGCAGGTTTAAGACCTCTAGCACTGCAGACCAGTCAGAGGAATCTTCAAATGTTATCTCAAGTGAATAACAGTCTATGTACTTCCAAAGAAAGCGAAACTGATACCCTTTTTAAGGCCGAAAG